TTATAAGTTATGCATTTTTCCCATTTTATGAAAGTTGAAATTTAAGCTTGGAGGTTAGAGGGTGTATAAAAAGATCACAAAACTGGTGTGCAATCATAGCAGCCTTTCTCACTTGTGATACAATTATGGGAAATTAATTGTAGTATGATATAAATAAATAAATAGGAAAGCAAACAAATTGTTGTGTTCACTACAAAGGGTAAGTGCTGGAACCAGGATTTATTTGTGGGCAATTAAGCTCTAGATGACATACTCTTAAAAAAACATTATGTTTTTATTGATTTTTAGAGAGAGAGGAAGAGAGAGTGATAGAGAGATAGAAACATTGATGGAAGAGAAACATTGATTGGCCACCTCCTACACACCACCGACTGGGGATTGAGCCTGCAACCAGGCATGTGCCCTGACCTGGAATTGAACCATTGATCTCTTGGTTCATGGGTTGACACTCAACCACTTAGCCACACTGGCTGGGCATAGACTCCATACTATTAAGCACTCTCTATTGCCTTTCAACATGAGGATTGCTCAGTATGGCAGCTAGTGCCCATTGACCAGAAGATCACACTGTGCTGACTAACCAATGTAATCAGTCGTCACTGTATGCGGCAATACTGAACAGTGCCTAGACACATATTTAGATAGATAACTACATACATGTATTTAGGGAAATAGTGGTATTAGCTTTAAAGACAAGCATCATCATGTGTCATCAAAATAACTCTAAAAATTCTTTGGTTTATTGCTACACTGGAGATTGACATCCTGTCTTTTAGTAAGTTTCTTGTAACTAATTTTTCTTCCAGATTGGAACAGGTCACCATTTCTTGAGTTGTCACCAGATGGGTATCATTAAACCTTGACATCACTTCTCTTGACAGGATGTGTACACCACAGAAAATTCACATCTGCCAACTCATGTTCATTCCCGGGCACATTTTGTTGTGTGGAATGGTGGGTTGCACTATTTAAATATTTATATCTCTTTTGTTTTTTTCTCCTGAGTATATATGAATGCATTCCCATGTTAATACAAGTATGATGATGTTATTGTACTGAATTTGCATATACATTTTCATAGTTACTTTGTTTTTCATTTTTGCATAAGTGAGCTTCCCCCTAAGACAGTGGTTCTCAACCTTCTTGCCCTTTAAATACAGTTCCTCATGTTGTTACCCAACCATAAAATTATTTTTGTTGCTACTTCATAGCTGTAATGTTGCTACTGTTATGAATCATAATGTAAATATCTGATATGCAGGATGGTCTTAGGCGACCCCTGTGAAAGGGTCGTTCAACTGCCAAAGTGGTCGCGACCCACAGGTTGAGAACCGCTGCCCTAAAAGGTAACAGTAGTTAATAGTTTGGTTGCATATTATTGCAGACCTAATTTTATGTATTACTTACATGTGTATGTACCTATAGAAATATTTGGTTTTCTGTTTTTCCCCCCCATTAATGATTTCTTCCTGTACATATTATTTATATACATATGCTTTCTTTTTGTCATGTAAAGTTGCTACATTCTTTTGAATAGATGCATTGCATTCCTCAAATAGGATATGACATAATGTGTTAGAATCTTGTTTAAATATACAGATAATAAATGAACATTTTATTTTAAATAATTCAAATACAATTAAATAATATAATCAAAATAAATTTAAAGCCACTTTGATCATCTTCCCAAATCCCAAGCTTTTCTCAAGAGATGAGAGTTAACATTTGATGCCCTAACCGGTTTGGCTCAGTGGGTAGAGCATTGGCCTACGGACTCAAGGGTCCCAGGTTTGATTCCGGTCAAGGGCATATGCCTTGGTTGTGGGCACATACCCAGTGGGGGGTGTGCAGGAGGCAGCTGAATTGATATTTCTCTCTCATCGATGTTTCTAGCTCTCTATCCATCTCCCCTCCTCTCTGTAAAAAATCAATAAAATACATTTAAACAAAAAAAGAAAGAGTTAACATTTGATTTATTGCACACCTGTTCTGGGTATTCTGTGTATCTGTATGTTCCTAGAAATTAAGTACAGGAAAAAAACTGAAAAACACATTCACATGGAGACTAAATAACATGTTACTGAACCATGAATTGGTTGTCAATGAGATCAAGGAAGACATTAAAAGACACCTTGAGAAAAAAAAAAAAAGATACCTTGAGAGACATGAAAATGAAAACACAACAACCAAAAATCTATGGGGCACAGTGAAAGCAGTCCTAAGAGGGGAATTTGTAGCAATATTAGCCTTCCTCAAGAAATAATAAAAATATCAAATAAACTATTTGACCTTATAACTAAAGGAACAGGAAAAAGCCCAAAGTGAAGAGAAGGAAGGATATAATAAAGATTAGAATAGAAATAAACAAAATAGAGTCTAAAAAAACAGTACAAAAGATCAGTGAAACCAAGAGCTGATTCTTTGAAAACAAACAAGATTGACAAACCTTTAATCATATTCATCAAGAAAAAAAGAGAGAGGACCCAAATAACTAAAAAAAATTAAAGAGAAGTAACAGCTGACACCAGAGAAATACAAAGGATTATAAGAAAATATGAGCAACTGTATGCCAACAAATCAGACAATCTGAAAGAAATGGATTTATTCCTAGTTACATACATTCTTCCAAAACAAAATCTGAACAGACTACAACTAATGAAACCAAAGCAGTGATCAAAAAAACTCCCAGCAAACAAATGTCCTGGACTAGATGGCTTCACAGGTGAATTTTGCCAAAAATTTAAAGAAAAACTAACACCTATCCTTCTCTAGCTATCCCAAAAAATTCAAGAGGAGGGAGGACTTCCAAGGTCATTTTATAAGGCCAACATTATTCTAATTCCAAAACCAGATAAGGACACTACAAAGAAAGAAAATATAGACCAATATCCCTGATAAACATAGATGCAAAAATCCTTAGCAAAATATTAGCAAATTGAATTCATCAATACTTAAAAAGATCATACACCATGATCAAGTGGAATTTATTCTGGGGATGCAAGGTTGATACAATATCCACAAAACAGTTATTATGATGCATCACAAACAAAATTCGGATAAAGATCATATGGCCAGTTTGCTCAATGTTTGGAGCATTGGCCCATGGACCAAAGGGCCTTGGGTTCGATTCCTGGTCGGGGTGCGTGCTGGAGGCAGCCAAACAATGTGTCTTTCTTATGTTGATGTTTCTCGCCCCTCTCCCTTGTCCCTCCCTCCACTCTGTCTGAAAAATCAATGGAAAAAAATCCTTGGGTGAGGATTAAAAAAGAAAAGATCATATGGTCATATCAATAGATGCAGAAAAAGTATTTGACAAAATGCAGCACCCATCTGTAATAATAAAAGTGTAATATGCTAATTAGGCCAGATGTCCTTCTGGATGTCCTGGACAAAGCCGCGGTGGGTGGGGGCCGAGGCAAAGGTGGCTGCCGCGGCTAGAGTGGCCGAGCCCCTTGCACGAATTTCGTGCATCAGGCTTCTAGTTTATGATAAAAAAACTCAGCAAAGTGGGAATAGAGAGGAACATACCTTAACATAATAAAGGCTATTATATAAGACAAATGCACAGTCAACTTCATACTCAGTGGGGGAAAACCAAAAGTGTTTCCCTTCAGATCAAGAAGAGCAAGACAGGGTTGTTCACTTTCACCACTCTTATTCAACACTAGATGCCTGGTGCACAAAATTCGTGCAAGAGTAGGCCTTCCTTCCCCCAGCTGCTGGCACTGGCTTCCCTCTAGCACCTGGGACCTGGGCTGACTTCCCTATGGCTGACCGCAGGCACCCGGGACCCAGGCAGGTTTCCCTCTGGCCGCCCGCAGGCACCTGGGACCTAGGCTTCGCTCCTGCTCTGGCTTTGTCCAGAATGATGTCCGGAAGGACGTCTAGTCTAATTAGCATCTTACCCTTTTATTGTTATAGATAGTGCTGGAAGTCCTAGCTGCAGCATTCAGAGACATTTTGTGATGATGTAAATATCTGTTCCTCATCAACTTTTTGCCTTTGGGTTTATTTTATTCTATTTCTAGCCTGTCATGTTGAAAGATTAGTTTATTTCGACTTTCATTTTTTTTTAAAGTACTTAAGATTACACATTTTTCTTAATACAGTAGGTCTTCAGGTTACATCGGAGATCAGTTCCTACGGCGTGACATAATGTGATTTTCGCCATAAGTTGGAACCCACCTACACAAGCACCTACGTCACTCACATGGAGCACTTACACAGCAGTAATAAAGTGAACAGTAAAAAAAGTTTTAAAAAAAGATAACAATTCCTGACCTTTACTTGTGGTAAATAAATAATAAGAAACATAAAGCACATGTGTACATACGTCAAAATGATGGAACTTTTTTTTTTTAATAAATGGAGATGGCGACGTAACCACGAAATGACATATGTCGAGTCCGATGTAGCTCGAGGGCTGCCTGTATATGTTTTTGACATATCAACTGGGAGTACTTACAGTAGGGTTGGGAATGAAAGGAAATAGTAGGTGTGGATATTGTTTATGCTACTAGGAAACTGGCAATAAGAGCCTGAACAGAGTATTTTTTTTAAATATATTTTATTGATTTTTAATAGAGAGGAAGGAAGGGGGATAGAGAGTTAGAAACATCGATGAGAGAGAAACATCAATCAGCTGCCTCCTGCACATCCCCTACTGGGGATGTGCCCGCAACCAAGGTACATGCCCTTGACCGGAATCGAACCTGGGACCTTTCAGTCCACAGGCCGATGCTCTATCCACTGAGCCAAACCGGTTACAGCTGAACAGAGTATTTTAATGTTGCCCAAACCATCCATGTCTTAACAAATGTTTTTAGTCTTGATTTAAAGAACAAAAGATATTCATGATGATTGTGATTGTCACACCCATGAGTAGTGATACATTTTGAAAATTATGAAATTAAAAAGTTGCTGTTTCTTTAGCGCTACTGGTATTTTGGGAGTTATTTAATATACAACTCTCTCATATCATTTTTACTTTACCATTTCAGGAGCAGTGGCGGTGGCATGGAAGAATCCGATTTCAAGTTGGTTTACTGCTATGCTCCACTGTTTTGGTGGAGGAATTTTATCCTGTTTACTGCTTGCAGAGCCTCCATTGAGGTTTCTTACAAACACCACTAATATATTACTGGCATCTTCAATCTGGTAAGTTGCCTTTTGGTGAACTATTAGTTATTTTAAACCTTGTTTTGTAAATTATTCGTAAATGGAATTTTTTTTTCTTTAAAAATATTTTATGTTATTGAAAAGTTAATGCATATGCAAAGGAAGGAGCTCAAATAATCCCAAAGGTTTTATGTGCAAAGTGTGTTTCTTTCTTACCCTTCTTCTCTCTTATTCTCTTCCGGAGGCAGTATTGTTACCATTGTCTTAATGTATCTTTAGTGGAAGCGTTTCAAATATGAAAGACCATCAAATATTTGGCCCCAAATAGTTTATCTTATGAACGTAACCCATACACATAGACATACCACAGGAGAAAATCAAGAATGCGACCAATTATACCAAAGTCATACTCTGTTGGATTTTTGGGAGCCTTATCTGATTTAACATTGATTTGTTTTGAATTTAGTTTTGAAGTGAAGAAAAATATTAGTAGAAATTGTTTTGGATTCTTACAAATCAGATTCAGTGCCTTTGTGCAGCACGTGCTGTTTTCTCTCTTGCTAACATTACCCAGAAGCTTCATATTTTCTTTTTTTCAGACAGAATGAAATAGCACCTCCTCTTTCATGACTATCGCATCATCCTTTATTTTTCTTCTTAGACTGATTACTACCCGACATATTATCTGTTCATTTCTTTTTATGTTGGTTTGTCTTACTTCACTAGAATAATAGCCTACCAGAGCAGGGACTTTATTTTATTAACTAGAGGCCTGATGCACAAAATTTGCAAGAGTAGGCCTTCCTTCCCCCCGCCCCCCGCTGCCAGCACCGGCTTCCCTCTGGTACCCGGGACCCGGGCTTCCCTTGCAGAGGGAGGCCCCACCCACCCACCACAGCCCGCCGGCCGGTGGCCTGGGCCTCCCTCTGTGACATGATCATGGGGCGATGGCTGGGCCCCCGACCAATCGCATCGCACCCACTTTGGCTGGCCTGGCACCAGTGTGTGTCATAGTGTTGTCCCAGATGGTCATCAGATGGTTGTTCCACTGCGACTGTTCGGTCTATTTGCATATTACACTTTTATTAAATAGGACTAGAGGCCCGGTGCACGAAATTCATGCACGGGAGGCGGGGGTCCCCTCAGCCCAGCCTGCACCCTCTCCAATCCGGGACTCCTCGGACATCCCTCTCACAATCTGGGACCACTGGCTCCTAACTGTTCACCTGCCTGCCTGCCTGATTGCCCCTAACTCCCCCCCTGCCGGCCTAGTCGCCCCCAACTGCTCCCCCCCACCCCCGCCAGCCAGGTCGCCCCTGACTGCCCACCCTGCTGGCTTGGTCACCCTTTACTGCCCCTTCTGCCGGCCTGGTCACTCCCAACTGCCCCCCCACCAACCTAGTTGCCCCTAACTGCCCCCCCCCGCCAGCTTGATCACCCCTTACTGCCCCCCCTGCCAGCCTGTTCTCCCCCAACTGCCCCCCCTCCCCCACTGGCCTGGTCGCCCCTAGCTGCCCCCCATGCCGACCTGGTCGCCCCTCACTGCCCCCCTCTGCCAGCCTGGTCGCCCCTCACTGGCCCCCCCCTCGTGGGCCTGGTCGTCCCACGCAGCCTGCTGCTTGGTCGTTTGGTCACCCCTCACTGACCCCCCTGTGGGCCTGGTTGCCCCACGCAGCCTGCTGCTCAGTTGTTTGGTCGCCCCTCACTGACTCCTCTGCTGGCCTGGTTGCCCCACGCAGCCTGCTGCTTGGTCATTTGGTCACCCCTCACTGACCCCCCTGTGGGCCTGGTTGCCCCACGCAGCCTGCTGCTCAGTTGTTTGGTCGCCCCTCACTGACTCCTCTGCTGGCCTGGTTGCCCCACGCAGCCTGCTGTTTGGTCGTTTGGTCGTCCCTCACTGATCCCCCTGCTGGCCTGGTCGCCCCACGCAGCCTGTTGGGTTGTCCATTTGGTTGTGATGGTTGCTTAGGCTTTTATATATATAGATAGTGTAGCAGGTCCAGTTGTAGGTTCAGTAACTACATTGCTAAAGGAATGGATTTTTGTATGTTGTTAGTTAAGGGATTTCTGTATTTGAGTAGCAAGGAATTTTAGATCTTGGCTAGTTGATTGCTTAAATAAACTTGTTTTTCTAAAAATAATATTCTTTCTTGGCTTAAACTAAAAGGTACGTTACACATAGAAAATAAGAAATGCATTTTAAAAATATATGTTTTATATTGATTTCAGAAAGGAAGGGAGAGGGAGAGAGAGAAAGAAACATCAATGGTGAGAGAGAATCATTGATTGGCTGCCTCCTGCACATCCCACACTGGGGATCAAGCCCACAACCCCGGGCATGTGCCCTGACTGGTAATTGAACCAGCAACCATACTATAGTTTTTCATACTATATACTCTTCTTAATCCTTATTTAGTCTTAGTTTCATAGCTAACTGTGTATTTAATGCTTATCACCAATCCTTACTAGGTGTACTGGTTAATAATGGTGGATTTTGTAATCAAAGAAAACATGCTAATTTCAAGAGAAACATCAAAAGTGCTTTACTCAAAGTAATGTCCATCGCTAGCTACACATTTCCCCCATCCTTCAGGTAATTTGTGGATACTGTCCCAATAGAACTTTTCTTGTTTTGAGGCAAACCATTCAGAGACCCAATTTTCCACTTCTTTGTACATTTTTGAAGTGCCGCTCAGAAAGTGAGTGTGCCATCCATCGGATCAAGTGGTAATCTGAAGGAACAAGGTCTGGTGAATACGGTGGGTGGGTTAATACTTCCCAGGCAAGATCTTTCAACATGTATTTAACTGGTTTTGAAGTGTGTGATGGTGCGTCATCATGAAGCAAAATTACTTTGCTGTGTGTTCTGGCACATTCTGGTCGTTTCATGATCAAAGCGTGTTTCAAATTGATTATTTGTTGTTGGTAGTGATCAGTATTAATGGTTTCACCTGGTTTTAGAAGCTCATAATACACCACACCTTCTTGATCCCACCAAATGCAGAGCATAGTCTTCTTTCTGAAGCGATTTGGCCTTGCAGTCGATGTTGATGGTTGACCTGGATCAACCCATGATTTTGTGCATTTGGGATTCTCAAAATAAATCCACTTTTTATCGTCAGTCACAATGTGATGCAAAAAAGACTTTCTTTTGTTCCTTTGAAGCAACATTTTACTGATGACTTTTTGGTTTTCCATTTGTCTTTCATTCAGTTGATGTGGCACCCATTTTCCTTCCTTTAAAATCTTTCCCATTGCTTGTAAATGAATGGAAATTGTTTGCTGAGCAATGCTTAATCTTTCTGCAAGTTGTTTTTGAGTTTGACACGCATCTTCATCCAATAATGCTTGTAATTGTTGGTCTTCAAACTTTTTCGGTTGACCTGGACGTTCTTTGCCTTTGACATCAAAATCATCACTTTTAAAGCCTTTAAACCAGCGTTCACAAGTGTCTTGAGGTGGAGCATGTTCACCATAACCTTCCTGAAGTATCCAGCCGCACTTTTCTTCAAAATAAAGTGATGAATTAAAACTTCCTGCAAATGCCCTTTTTTTGGCACGAAATTCGCCATTTTTAAGCATAAAAATACCTATGATGTTAACACCTTCAGCAAATTTGACATATGAAGTTTTGAAGCTTGCTGTCAATACAACAAAATAGCATACATATCAAGTTGCATATATATCAACATATGTGTAACTCCATCTATTGAAAAAAATCTGCATTATTAACTGGTACACCTAGTATGTCTTTGTCTCTCTAGTAACTTTGGTTGTCTAAAGGTTATTCTCTAGTTAATTCGTCAAGAACAGTAGTCCCTGAATTCTCACCTATTCATAAGTTAGTGTCTTTTGTACTTGAAAGTGAATTTTACTGGATAAAAGTAATTGGACCACACTTTCTACCTTTGAATACTTTAAATGTTACTCTGTTTTCTTGAAAAATCTGATGATCATTTAATTTTCTTTCCCTCATAAGTCACATGCTTTTTTTTCTAGATGCCCAAAAGATCCCCCCTCAGTAAAGTCTAATAATATTTTAATTAAATTTATTAGGGTGACATCAGTTAATAAAATTATATATCATATTCACCACCCCAAGTCATTTCCTTCCATTACCATTTATTCCCCCTTTACCCTCATCTTCTTCTGCCCCCTTGCCCTCTGGTAATCATCATATTGTTGTCTGTCTATGAGGTTTTTTTGTGTTTTTTTTCTTAATCCCTTCACTTTTTTCACCCAATCCCCCTTTCTTCTCCCCTCTGACAGCTACAAGTCTGTTCTCTATATCTATGAGTCTGTTTCTATTTTGCTTTTTATTTTGTTCATTAGATCCACATGTAAATAAAATCATATGGTATTTGTCTTTCTCTGACTGGCTTATTTCCTTTAGCATAATATACTCCAGGTCATCTATGCTGTTGCAAAAGGTAAGATTTCCTCTTTTTTAATGGGTGAGTAGTATTCCAATGTGTAAATGTACCACAGCTTTTTTACCCACTCACTTATTGATGGGTACTTGGGCTGTTTCCAGATCTTGACTATTGTAAATAATGCTGCAGTGAACATAGGGGTGCATATATTCAAAGCCTAAAAATTTAAACAAAATACATCTTAGCATTGTTTATTCTGGCTTAGTATTCTTAGGTATGTGATATGTCTTTTTAGTAGCTACACATTTGTTTTTTAGTTGAGAAAGTTATTTTAGTATTTGTGCTCTTCCCTTTTCTTCAGGAACCCCTATTATTGGTATATTGTCTCTCCTTTGCTTTTCTTTAGTGAACCTTTTTTCTTAAAATTTAAAATGTTGCCCCAGCTGGTTTGGCTCAGTGGATAGAGTGTCGGCCTGTGGACTGACGGGTCCAGGTTCAATTCCAGCCAAGGGCACATGCCCGGGTTGCAGACTCGATCCCCAGTAGGAGGCGTGCAGGAGGCAGCCGATCAATGATTCTCTCTCATCATTGATGTTTCTATCTCTCTCTCCCTCTCCCTTCCTCTCTGAACTCAATAAAAACATATTTTGAAAAAAAATTTTTTTT